ATTTAAAATAGCTGAAAGAATCTAAAAATACTTTTTTTCTATAACAATTATTTGATAATAAAAAATTGTCGTACCACATTCAATAAATTCACTTTGGATATTTTTAATTATGAGTGGAACCCTATCAGTCCATCGACTACGACAACCCTCTGAGCCCCTGGACTAACAGAAAAATATGAAGCCTCTACCGGCTTCTCATAATTGCGCAGCGGCTCGTCAAATGTCATTGCGTGCAACTCTAACGTAGAGAAATTGTTTCACATTAATTTACTCAAAATTGCGTGCAGAGGTATCGTAGTGCATTACACCGTTTGGTACTCGGCGCCAACGCTGACATCAACGTTGCCGTAGATAGAATAATGTAACCCAGCATCGTGGTTACGACCTGCTCACACGCACGTACAATGAAATTGTCAATCGAGAACGATGGAATCGTATATATAGAGATATATGGGAAAATCGTCTGCTGAGCAACACACGTATATATATATATGTCTATTATATAATGCGGATGAAGAAACCGCACAAAAACTATATGCTTACGCTTGTATATGTTCTTTACATGAGAGGTGATGAGCGAAAAGTGTACGGAAAAAAGCGGCGAGAGGGGGTGAGCTCGGCAGAAATGATGAAATGATAGACGAGCGAAAAAAGACCTAATATGGATTGAACTAATCCTATATCTATAAATGATGATGCCTTCCGTCGACCCGCTCGTGTACGCACTTGAAGGTTTCTTCGGATTAAATGTTGCTTGATTGATCAAGCGCACGATGCTCGCGCGTCGCATATACTCAAGAAGCTTTCTTCTCTCTCTCTCTCTCTCTCTCTCTCTCTTGCAATCAAACTGAGTGTCACGTATTCAGCTTTAAGCTTTTCATGATTATTTTTTACTCCTTTTTCACTTGCTAATAGTTGCTAATAACTTTGCGATCAAGTAAAATTGAACGTGCGACATTCTCATTGTCATTATTTATTTATTTTCAATAGAAGCACGATGTAAATGTTGCTGTAGATAAATGGAGACCTTTTGAGCTATGAATGTAGTAATTTCAAATTATCCCTGCACTCCGGAGCCAATCCGTTATAGAGTATAATTATAAACTGTTTATAGTTAGAAATTGGTGAAAGCGCGAGAAAACATAATCTACTTTTAAATGCCGTATTAAATTTTCATGGCTCTGTAACAATCATAATATCGTTCTACAACGCCAAAAGATGCACCTGTGCATTCTCTCAGGCTGTAACAAAGCCTAAGAATTTTTGTAAGCCTTCTTCGCGTATATTGGCATAAAATCATTCATGTTGCTGATGCTTTTGTTGCGGTCACCGCCATTGCTGGTATTGCTGCTGCAGCAACAGTGACGATGAACAGTTAACGAGTAATTCAATTTAGGCTGGGAGAATATTGCGTACGCAGTTAGGTATACGTGTGCTTAATACACATATATGGGTGACACAGCTTGACTTCAAAACGCATTTATATGTAAATACACGTTATGACAAAATAGGATTTTCCCACACTGGCTCACCGTTCATTTAAAAAGTAAAAATTTTTTCCATCTCGGCGAATCAATGAGGAACGGTTGCCCACTGCTGCTGCCGAGCTGTTATTAAGTCCGATCGCCACATGAGCGTGTCTTTTCGCATTTCAGTTTGGCACGGCTATTACTCCACTGACGTGTGCATCGTCTTCTGAGTTGATGTCGTTATCTTTTTTTTCTATATCTATGGCTCTGATAATAATCCCGGAATAACACGACAGAAACATTGGACACCTGTCGAGCGTGGATTGGTAGTACAAAGTGACAAATATATCCTGGTAAGCTGAATTTGTCATCTATGCTTTCCATTCATTTTAGTTGCATGAGAGAGTCGATAATTGTAAAATCTTTATTTTCCATTGAAATAATTTACAATTTCCACATCTTTTTTCAAAATCATACACAGAGAAATGAATTATGTATCTACGGTTCCGTTGAAAAAAAGATTGACAGAAAAATTTTTGCTCTTTTTTTTAAGCTAGATTTTTTTTAATATCATGGAAGCATTTATGTACGAACTTTTTCAAGATTTCTTGAACATACTTTTTCGTTATAAAAAATGTTAAAAAATCTGTTACACGACATTCTTTGGAATACTCTAAACTATTCACAAACTTTTGTGGAATAACTTCGTGGAAAAATCTTTGAAAATACTTTACTGAGCCAAAGAGTATGGATGATTTTAATTACAGTCCAAATAATTTCCTTGGCACTTTGTGCATTGCAGTTACAAATTCATTTTTTCGCTTCACTGAACAAATTTTTTAGTTCAGAATTTGTTCGAAATTTTAAAATACCGTTAGTACACGTGTGTAACAGAATCAATCGTTCGTAGGAGACCAAGGCAAATAACGCTTTTTTATGCATTCATTGGATTTCATGCAATGCATGCCTAAAGCTCTGTTTCAAAGATATTGATTTTTTTAATGTGTCAAAATAGTTTCAAAATATTTTAATCAGGTAATAATACTTTCTATCTAAAAAAAAATATAATTATAGTCGAGTGAATATATGTAAGTTAACTCAAATAAGATATTTTTATCAAGCTTGATTTCATTTTTATAGACATTTTTCCCACTTTTCTAGTTTAGACTAAATAGGTAATGTACTAGGGATGAGTTTGTGCAAGGTTGAGTAATTTTTAGAACTGGAAGGAATATATATTATTGAAAAAATTCAATTAATTCCCTGATATCGTAACGTCACAAAATTACTTGAGCTATATTATCCCATTGCAGCGTTTGCAAAGTGACATGATTGCACTGTTAACACACACGATAAACGTCATCACTTACATTACTCTCTGAAATTATATACTGATGTAGCGTTCCAATATGCGCACTAATCAATAAACAATAAATCAAATATAAAGACAGGATGGGTTAGAGAGAAATTGCTTTTGTCATTAGTAGCTAGCGAACTTCCATGTTGTTAAAGCTTATACCATACCTTCAAAACTAGGAATTGCTTGAATAGAAAATCCATGGCATCTTCTCTGTTAAATGGAATCTAGTATTACAATGCCATAATCAATAAATAATATTACTTAAATGAAGTTTCCTTAGAGTCAGAATAGAATCAAATTTGTTTCCATTGATGTTTTTTAATCACTATACTAGAAGGGACTAATTTTTAATATCTAGGTAAATTGGGCTATAATAATATTCTACATCTGTGCTGTATATAGTCCGTATTATGATTTGATTTTTATACTAAAAATAAAAAACATAATTATACATTATAAAGTTCAAGAAGAGGAATCTAATCTTTTTTGCAAAAATGGCACATGCTTTAACACGTTTGATTAAAACGTCAGTGATATTTCCAACGATATGGTTGAGAGAAGTTGAATTCAAGCTATTCCAGCAAAGTCAGAGAAAAACTATTCTGTCACACGAGAATTGCTGGAGTTGCAGCGTACGGGTTGAGAGGGAGAGAGAGAGAGCACGAGAGAAGCGAAATATTCTAGCGTCGAATTAATTAGAGAGATAGTGAGTCGAAATGCGCGTCGTCGGAACGACGGTGGCCGTCGTTGTGCAGCGCTAATTGATTGTGGCGTACGAGCCAGGGAGTATGGTACTGACCGTGTGGTAGCATATAGTACACTCGCACATTCACATATATGAAGCTCACATACACTCAGTCATGTAGGTTGCACGAAGGATGCATGGCATGACCAAGAAAAAGAATATTCGCGTAATGCATGATGTAGTTGATGTTGCAAGCCACGCGTTGCCTCACCGTCGATACGGTATAATGAAACTATTTTGAGGGCTCAATGTTAGCCATTGCGGTTGATAGCTACTACATGCGAGATAAAGAGAGAGAGAGAGAGAGAGAGAGAGAGAGAGAGAGAGAGAGAGAGCGAACCCGACACGATCGTCACTATTGCGAAAACGAGAACGAGAGAGAGGTAGTGGGAGTCATTGAATGGCTAATGCAAAAACCAAGTTTCAGAGACATTAGTTCGGAAACGCTAATTTCTATTTTCGGTCAACTATCCAACTGTCGGTTTGGTTTGAATGAAGTTGTGGCTACTATGTGAAATTGATTTACGCTTATTTTGTTAAATATAATTTTTCGATTTTTATTTAAAAAGTCGGTAAAACATTTCATATCAAACGTATTTAAATTTGTAGGATTTTTTTAAGCAATTGCACATTCATTTTCAATGCTAGAGTGTGCGTTTCCAGCTATTTTTTACTTTATATGGCTAGATTGCAATATTCCTTTTGGTCAGAGCAATACATGTTTATGGGATAGTGCGAGTAATTTTCAGAAATATGTACATTTATAAAAACGACTACCCAATTATTTTTCGTCTTCCACTCAGTTCTCTCTAGTGCACTCGCCATCCCGCACCTTCCGCTCTTGCTTATATATCATATACCAAGGTAAGCAGACGAGTCCTTGGTTTTTTTTTCATTCCGCTTCTGTAAATCCCTTTTGCTCTTTCATACGATTTTGCGCATGTTTTTTTTACCTTTTCCCCTTATAGCACAGTAATCTCTGTACTTTTCTTTATTCTCTGTTTTTGTTTTCTTTTGTTTTGCTGCCCCTAGATCTTCCGAATGAGCTTTGTATTCTCATTTTTTACATACTTTACTTCCAGTTGTCGTACATATTTATGCATTCAGTTCATTTTACTTTGAAATATTTCAAAATATATTAACTTTCATAAAATTTCTAGAAAAAAAGTAACTAATCCGACCGCTCATTCTTCGGTAATTTTATTTTTGTGGCTAATTTTCAATGCAATCTTTAAAAATTTGCAGTAATAATAATTTAAGGACCCTAGCTTTAAGTAAAGTAAAGTATTGCGTGCATAAAACAAACCTTATAAGGTAAAAAAGTTAATAGGTGAATGTGATGGGATGCGGCTAAAATTTTTTAATTTTAAATAAAAATAATGTGAAAAAACTTATTTTTAACAATGAAATTTGTTGAATGTTTTAGATTCATCAGAAAAGGTGACAATCTGAATCCTTGATTTCAAAACTCCACCATGAGAATCTTCTTAATGTTGGTGATCCTCATTCTAGAGGTTCAACTCTACTTTCGAGGTAAGTTTCATTTGAGTATTTTGTCATAAATTTGACATCTTGATATGCTAGCTTGTCATCGTATTTATAATTTCTGTTTCAACATAATCCGTTTTGCTGCAAAAAATGTTGATTGAGTTAAAAATAATGCAAATAAATAAGTTGTGATATGTAATCACGTAAGATTCTATCCGATTTTATATGAAAAAGTTTGACGCCCAAACCCATTGAAGGTAAAATATTGATCAAGTTAAGCTTGGCAGAAACTTGCAGTCATAATGAAAAAACATACTCATTAATCTAACTAATTTATCTCGTTTAGAACTTGTTTGACTTTTATCATCTTCTTAGCTTCGCTGAAAGCTCGTACCGCTGTGTAGCTTACCGGTCTTATAAAGCTCAAGCTCAGGTATGGCATACATAATACAAGTTTTGCAGCGAAGCATTTTCGCGTCGGAACAGAAAACACTTAATTCAGTGAGCGCTGATGTCCGACAAGTAATTTCCGGTTATCGTGAGGGTTATCGCGTTGCAGGTACCGTTCGCTTATACTTGGCCTACGCTTCATGCCACGGTATATATCGCGGGGCAACTTTCGCATCTTGTTAGTTGAACAGCCGGAATTCCTGGCAACCTTCCGACACACAGAAGCTTAATTGTTAGTCTCAGTACTTTTTAGGTATCATCGGCTTTATACATCCGATCTCTCGGAAAACTTTTTTTCAGCTTATATTTTTTCCCAAACTTTCCGCATTCGTTGAGACTACACAACACTTATCTTTCAAATTCAATATACAGTTGAATGTAAGTTGTAGTTTAACTTTAGAAAAAAATTACACTATTGTTTGGACTGGAAATCTTTCATTTTTTTTCATTTCAAACAAAAAATGGTGTTTCTTCGAACGAATGATATTTGTAAATTTACGAATAACGATGATTAAAAAATAATTATCGACACATATTGGAAAATGTTTTTTAAAAAATCAAATATTCAATCAATAACTAAGTTGCTAATTTCATTTATGATTTAGCTATATTTAACCCTGCATGCATCAATTAAATGACTCCGAAATAAACTTGAAGAAAGAAAATGTTAATATTTAAGAAACTTTTCAGTCGAGAAAGTTTTGTATCTTTTTGATAGTTCCCTGCGATAGCGCGGTTAAAATACATATACAGATAAGCTCTAGGATTTTTCGTCCACTTTGCAGAAAATTATCCAGGTCAAATTTTATATTTGAGTGAAAGTAGCAGCCGCTATCCATCACTAAGACAAAAATTTCGGAGTTTGGTGGTTTATTGGAATGGCATGGCGGCAACAAAGTCGCTGAAGAAAGTTTTTTTTCAAAGAACGACAGACTGGGAGAAGTGAAAGGCGTCGGTTCCTTTAAAATCAATGCGTTCTATTGTCTCTATCGCTGATTGAGGTCTGAAAATTTCGATAGTTAAAGCTTGCTGGCGCTTATTAATGCGTCAAAGTATAAAGTTTAATCTTTTTTCATTAGTTACGAAAATTGCGTATTCTAACTGTGGAAAAAAATTTCCAGTTCATTTTTCTCTCATTTAAGGTTTTGACTTCAAAATATTTCTTAAAATATTTTTTTCTTAGTAAAGTATCTTTAAAAAACAAACATGGCCAGACTAGGAGCAAAAATGTTACATCCCTCATAACTGCTTAGCACTCGCGATCGAGAACAGTGCTTGAAAACTGTAGTTTTATATTCAGATGGCCTTGCATGGTGCATAGAGGTCATTCTTCGCGAAAACAGCGTGCAATGAACTACACCGTGAACTGCATCGTGATGGTAAGTAGGTGTGGGCATTCAAATAGATTTATATGGTATAAGGTATATTGTAATCAGATTTGGGCCGGTCGACAGTTCTATTGCCCCTAGTTGAACAGTAGGCAGACGTTCGCTTGCGTCGAGCTGAGTCCTCATTTTAACTATAGTGCAACATGCAGCGTTGTCGGTGATTGAGATTTTCGTGAATTATGGTAAGTCCATCGTAGCATAATGTATAAGCTTTGCCTAAAATAACAGGGGAAATTCAATAGCTACGCGGTTAATCTGCGAATCCAATCGACGGCTGCCCATGTATATACGAGCACATGTTTTTGGAAAACTTACGAGTTATTGTATATAGTGCAGATACCCGTGCATCGCGAGCTCGGGATTTCTCGGGAGCATAAACTCTGATATGCGTTCAAAATTCACGTTTGGAGCTTTGCGAATCAAACCACAGCGTATACGGAGCTTTTCAGGTCTCCCGTCGGATGGATGATTTATATCTTCGACTTTTGCAGCATTTTAGAAAAGGAACATCTAACTTGTTAAAATAATGAATCATTCATATATATAAGACCACCGTCTTACTCTCAGTTTTTTTCCGCTTTAAAATCCAAGGATTACTCTGTACTGATTATTATTATATTCGTTAAACTTCAAGTTCAAAGTTTTTACCTTTACGTAAATTTCATGAATTTTATTTTGTAATTAAAAAGTTGCTTTGCTTCTAATGAGGTGCAAAGTGTAGCAAAAAAAAGTATCCACTCTTCTCGACTCGACGTTGGTCTTTTCCAATGTAATCAACATTTTATTAAACTTCGAATCGGGTTCATCAGATTATTTTTCCAGTCTATGAAGAAGCTTTTCTCAAACTTGTTGGCAAATAAAATATAGTTTGTAGATCGCTCGACAATTAGTCGAATGCCAGCTAATTGCAGGAAATGGAAAATATGATCGTTGAACGGAAATTCGATAGCGCGACGCGGTAATTAGTCAAATATATTTCGTGCTCATACACAGGTATACATGGGCGGGCAAGCATATAAATATAGTGCATAGTTGTGGGATTGCCGCGTAAATGCTCACGAAACAGGGGCCTCGGTTCGCGAGTACTCACACTTAGCGCATACTCGCACACTAGCTCGAAACTTGCTAGCTTCCGCGCGTATGTGCGATCGTTTCGCAAAGTCAGTGACTTGGTCGGAATAACTCATATGGTAGTGTGTACATTGAGCATTGTACTCGGGTTGCATAGTTAAAGATGGCGTGCGCGTTGGGGGAGCTGTAACTATTATTATGTCATTAGAGAGATAAAGACGCGGACGTGTACAAGGAGGCTAGAGCTGGTGCGGGAAAATGCGGGAAAGAGGAGCGGCAGCTCTGAGGTTAATGACAATTTTCAAGCTCTCCCTATGACCCTGGCGCTGTAATTAATGTAGCTGTCTCTGCATCCCTCAGCGATAATACGTTCGAGCGGTCGCCGACACAGCTAGCTCGCACTCTTTAAGTGGTTAAGTGAATAACTTCGTCAGAGCTTGCATGTGTAACTGCTCTGCGACTTTGAGGGCTGAACGACAGTAAAGGGAGGGAGAGAGCCAAGTAGATGGAGATATCACGTTGAAATGAGCCTCTCGACGTACTTCATGACGTGCAAGCTGCTGTATGCCTCGGCGTACTATGTAACTAAACTCAGTTTTATGCCGCAGTCATCCGAATCATACAAAGTGCCTTGAGTGATTTCCTCGTTATATACCTTACGATGCTGTAGCAGAACAAATATGATCCAAGTCGATTTTCATGCAGCCGCACGGCAAAATTATTTCGACTTTGGCTGATTGAAATGTAAGATGACGAGACTGTTGCTTTGAACATATTCGACGTTCAAGTTACGTTTCTCGCTTTGAGCTGTGTCACGGGCTTATTTGTACACTGACCTACGTCTTGCGGCAAAATAAGCGATTACCTTTGAACCTCCGTGCACCCACGTACATACGTAAATAAAGGATCAATGCTTGCTTGGACGAGATCATCAGAGTATTTTCTCGCTTTAATTGGCTTGAACAATTTTTAATTAGCTCAAGAGGTGTCCAGGTGTATCCAAAGTCAAATGCAAGAACTGCTACAAAAATTGTATTTTATCTTGAGTACAGGGGAGTTTGATTGAAGGAGGGCTTGCGCGTTAGGCTAGAAGTTAAATTGTCACGAGGAAAATCCACGTGAAATATATTATTGAAAAACGCCGATAGTCAAGGAGTACAAGGAGAAGACTGAAAGTACTTTCGAGATAGTTTTGAATATTCTTTTGTGTATACTATTTTTTTCTGTTTGGTTCACCTATTTATTTTTTTATATCGATGTGTAGTTACCAGGCCGACGTTGGAATGTGGAAGCGACGTGTCTGCAACTATACATCCCCAGCACGATACGCTAGGCTAACTCTTGCAGTTTTGCTGGTCCGAAATAAAATATCGGTAAAATATACACGTACTGCGATATGGTTTCCTCCGAACGTTCAGCAAAAAAGAGCAAGCACAATTTCATGCCCGCACTATCACTTGCTTTTCTTTAAAAACGCCGTGTGTTTTTTTTTCTTTTGCGTTTTTTTTTTATTTTTTATCAAGTCTTTTAGTTTTAAACAAAATGGAAAGTTAGGCATTTCGTTTAATTATCAAAAAATTAAATTAATAACAATGATAACTTATTAATAATTTAGTAAAATGTTCATTTTTGTTTGAAATTGCAGAAAGTCAAGCAAAACAAGATAACCTAGCCAATTCAATAGACAATATAGAAGAAAAAGGATTAAAATTGGAGCCAGCATTCACGGGCATGGCTAAAGATGCTTTGGCCCAGAAAGGTGGAACTGCAATGCTGCCGTGTAAAGTAACTGATCCCGGCGCTGGAATCGTAAGTGCATACTTGCATACTTGGTTAAATTGAAAAAAAATTGACTTAGGAGCTTTAAATTTATCAGATGAACTGAAACTAATACTAACCGCTCTAAATTTTTCATTTTGCACGATGTTAATTCATATTTATAACGATACGTACATTTTATAAAAATCAATATTCGATATTCCATTTTTATATTTGTTTGAAAGTTAAATTGAAGTTCACTATTGTACTTATTTCATTCATTGGTGTTGTTTGCTGCTCAATTTATTAAAAGAATTAAAAAATAAATAACTACATAATGTTCTATGAATATCTATCTATTCTTGTAGTAACGAGTTACTTACTTACGTATCGAAAATCTTGTTATAGACAATCTACCGAGTATTTATGTAACAGAAGGGAATGATGCAGCATTGCTATTTTATGTCGAAGGGTACAATATTGATGAAAATAATTACATTAAATTCAAGATAATTAAATTTAACATTTATATTTTATTTTACGATAACATATCAAAGTGGATGCTGTTTACATGAACCACTCGCATATTGTGTATCAAAGTACCTAAACCCCAGTGGTGTATGTTTATCATCTTCAAAGTTTTCAACTAGTTTTTCTACAATATTTTATGGAAATATTATAAATCAAGTCCATGAATTATATAATTCTGCAAGAAGTTCTTTGAGAGATGTAGTAAAACTCGTACTGTGTCATGCACTTCAGCTGATGAGCATATTAAAAATTTCAATATGATAAAATATCTAGTGGAAAAAAGTCTTTAAACATTTTTTCAATTACTAATGACAAGTTTCACAATGAAATAAAAATGATTTTTATCATACAGTTATTGATAATATTTTTTACACTTAAAAATGGAAAGTAATAACTGTATCATTGTAAAGTTAGATTTTTTTCACACGATACTATTTGAACAAGTTTTAAGAATTGCAGAGCTAAACGAAAAAGCTTGAAAATTGTAGAAGAAATACTACAGAAAACGGATCCAATCATGTGCCGTAAATGGCGCGTGCGACGATAGAGAGTAAGAGAGAGAAAGAGTGAGACATACATACATATATACAGTAGAAAGTAAAGGATGTTTCTTGTTAGCACAAGGCAGCCGCCCAAGGCGTGATGTTTGTCGCCTCGGCTTTTTATAAAAAATTGGAACAAAAAAAAACGAAATAATCGTGAGCGCGTCAGCGACAGTCAAGTCTTTGCCTCTATAATATTCACACGAACTGAGAATATATATGCAATAATATATTATATATAAAAAAACATCTGTCCAAAATAAAAAGCATCATGAGTATAGCTGGAAAAAAATGAGCATTTGTATTCATAACTGCGTGACAGAAAAAAATCGGATAAAATCACGCGTCTGAGCAAAGTATATCATTTTTAAGACTTTCCCTGGGCATGTATGAACGAATCACGTATTCAATTGCATCATATGGGACTTTAGTCGTCTATTTTTGAATCTGCCTACTCTATTTATCTTGTATTGAGTGTCGTTCATAACATTATTTTCTAATAGTTTAGAAAGTTTTCAACATTACACGTGGCTAATTTATAGTAGTAATATTGTTTTCTCAATCATTTTGCGAGATATCTCAATGCTATGCTAGTTATTTTTCTTGCTGACCTAAAAACTCGAAATTAAGGGTCGTGTTTAAAATCAAAATTTATGCAAGTGCTTTGAAAAAACAATTGGGTAACAATAGGAGTAATTTTTCTTAAAATTTATGAATTCATTAGATTAAAAGTAGTAGAAAGAGTTATGAGTTTATTATGATTAAATAATGATTAAGTATATGATTATAGTTTAGAAGATAAAATAAACTCTCTAAAATAAATGATTTAAAATGCTAAAAAGAACTATAAGATATTTCAAATAATTATTGTTTGATTATCATATAAATTTCGCATCAAAGCTATTACTTTTACTTTTTAAGAACTCTACCAAATTTTTCTCTTTTCTCCCTCTGGAACTAACCTTTGCGGTGATTCGAAATACTGATTTTTCCTGCAATGCGTACTGTGTGACGCCATTTCTTGTACTTTGAAAGGTGTCACTGCCATCCAATTTTCATTTCCGGACGATTCGCACGCATTCGTACGTGTTTCTGATTTAATTTCCGCTTCCTCTTTTCTACTGTGGCTGTTGTTGCTAATGCGTCAACTCTCTCTCTCTCTCTCTCTCTCTTCTCTCTTTCTCTTCCTCTCTTTGGTGTCATCGTTTCTCTTTGTCTGTCTCATTTGTTGTTTTTCTTGGGAGTATCGTATGCTATTTTTCGCTCGCTTTTGCATGCTACTTCTTTTTATTTATCTCGTTCACGGCCTCATAGAGTTTCTCTGTTATTTTTCACATTTTTTTATCCAACTTTGCATCCTTCTTCTATGCACTATGTTACTCGACCCTAACAATTACTTTTTTTCGATCTTTGACTGTCATTAATTTTCTTTATAGCCTCATTTCCTGCTATGTTCTCAGGCTTTTATTTATTTCTTTCTTTTCTATTTTACTATTACTATAGTTCAATTTCCTCATCGATTACAACTGTTTTACTACAGATATACTTTTTTCATTTTATCTCAACTAAGAATATTTTTTTATTATTAACAAGTTGATTATTTTGTACTAAATGCATAATAAAAGTCATTGTATTTATAATTATACATAAACATTTGAGTTAGTTATGTATATAAGCTTGCAGAATTAAATTTTTTTACTAATGTAATCATGAATTATTTTATTATTATGTTTCAATGTTGTGTTTCAATTTTCACCATGAGTTTTACAAAATGAGTTATGTATACTCATTTTGTTAGCATAAAATGTTGTTTTGTACTTATTTTTATTGTATTTCTTGATCTTTGACCGTAATGAAAATTAAAAATTCATAATTTACACAATTTTTCAATTGTTCGCTATCACAAGCATATGCTCATGCGCGTATCTATGAATGAAGTATTCTAATGGACAATATCAGTTCTATGATTACAAATTGAATTCAATGTATGTACAGTCAAACATGATATTCTTGCTGATTTCTCAAGAAGTCCCTGCATCATAGCGTATTCAAATTTCAAATATGTTTCTTATAAATTTCCGTGCATTTTGTTGTCATGAATACATGTAAAAATTGTCACACTGATTCTTTGACGTGTAGCATCGGTAATTCACGCTACAAATGTACGTTTGACTAGTTTGTATCTTATACCACTCATAAATAGTTGTGAATAAAACTATTGTAACTAGCTCGAGGGTGCGAAAGAGCTCCGGTCTTGCTTGAATTTGAGTTCAGTACGAGTACGTATATGAATGTTTCTTTTCATTTTTACCGACATGTTCTGCATAAGAGGTACTTTTTTACAAGTTTGCAGTCGTTCATATTTCTTGGTGACTCGATCAAGTTCATTAAACTCTGCTGCCTGATTGTATTTTATTGCAATATTTACTCTTTGCTGTGAATATTTTTGAGCATATGAATATAACGTTATATATATATTACTTTTTTTATTTTTTGTGAACAAACGTTCAGCTTTTTATCAATATTTATGAACTAGAGAGAATATGTATAAGAATGGATACAGCATAATAATCAAGACTCTTATGCTATATACAAAATCTAGACTTTGAATACACTTTGTTAAGAATAACTTCAGGATTTTACTTATAAATTGCATAAGCATGTTATATTTATTACACTTATGAAATATTATTTAAAAATGAATCATAATAGAATATTTATCAAATTTGGAGGATTTCAAAAATTCAAACATTCCATAAATATATTTTAGTTGTATATTTGCCAACAAATATGGTCTAAACTCAGGGTTGTAAAAGTTTAAATCAACTTTTAATGTAAATCCAGCTTAATTCATGAATCAATTTTGATTTTGGATTTAAATGATTTTCATTTACGAATTAATTTTGATTCGTGAATTTAACTTGATTTAAATCTTTCATGATTTAAATAAAACTTCATGTCTCCAGTTTCTATGAGTTGTTCATGTTCCAGTTAGTAAAAATAGCCAGAGTGTATTTCTCGAGTACATTATAATTCTTTTGGGCTCTGTAGGACCCAAAAAACTATAATCTACGTGAATCTTCTATAATCACCTGAAAATTTCGCGGACTAAGCGTAGAAAAAAAATCAAAAACCTCATACCCAACATATGTTTTGACGAGAAATCGAATGGTGACCTTGAATTTGACCTTGAACATAACCTTCAAGTTCCAGTGACCCTAAAATTGATTTTTCAAACGTAACCTCCATTTTTCATTTCAGATTTGGAAAGAACGAAAAATTTTACATTGAAACACGTATTTTGTTTTTTTTTTCAAGGTCATTTTAAGGGCGTTACAGACCAAATTAGACCTCCATTTGACCTAAAATTAAGTTCGAGTAAGGGTTTTTTCTCTAACTGTACCGCCTCCAAAATGACCTTGAAAAAAAAAACAAAATACATGTTTCAAGGTAAAATTTTTCGCTCTTTCCAAATCTGCAATAAAAAAATGGTGGTTACATTTGAAAAATCGATTTTAGGGTCGCTGGATCTTGAAGGTCATGTTCAAAGTCAAATTTAAGGTCACCATTGGATTCCTCGTCGAAAAACATGTCGGATATGAGGTTTTTGATTTTTTTTCTAAGCTTATTTCGTGAAATTTCTAGGTGTATCCATACTTTGCCACACCCGGTTAAGTTAATTTCTTCAAGTCGTTTTGGTATATCCGGGGTTTGCAGGTCCCAAGAAATTGAAGAAAAAATCGAATCAGACTTTTCCTGGATGTTATTTGGCTATACAAATGTGTAACCAAAAATCTTCCTTGTATTTTTTGAATGAGCCAATATTGTCATATGTTCTTCCGAAAACTAAAATACAACTCTTCTCCAATTGGCATTGGTTTTTCCATGTTGAATCCTTTATCAAGTTTTACATGAAGAATCACTATTCAATTATTTTTTCATACTTACCCAAAAGCAGAATAAAATTAAAAAAAAAAC